GTCATTCACAGTGTGAAGCTGCAAATTAAAATGGTGTTCGGTGTGTTTAATCAGGCGTGTTATTAGCACATAAACATAAATGCGGCTTTGACTTTGAATTTAAAGGAGGATTTGCAGCAGACATCCTCCAGCTGTTGAAGTGCACGCGAGAACAGGAGCTGTGCAGAAATGTTGGTGCTCATCAGCAACTTACGTGGAGTTCATGTTGGAAGCCAACACCAAAAACCATGAAGCAACAGAGCAGCTTCACCTCATAGATCTGAGAAACCATTCTTAAAGGATTTGTTTCAAGTCCTCCTTGGCTGCTCACCATCAAGATGAATTAGATCCAGTGGGCAGCATCTGGTTCAGGCTGAAATAATGACTCTGGAATGCTTCAGACAGCAGTGATGTCCTGCTACTGTTTCACATTTTGCTCAGATTTGTTCATGCTTATTGAGTCTCCTTTCAGCACCACATCCTGAAATCATGATCAAGGTTTTGAACAGGAGCTCTGCATCACCACCTCAGCCTAGGAAGAAGTTGTTTCAACGCAGAACACTTTTCACTTGTACTGATGTCTGAAGATATTTTAATTTCTCTTAAAGGAGACAAATCATTTTAGATCCTTCCTTTTAACATTTAAATAGTTGGGGTCTATATAAAGTGGAACTGCAATGCTTTGGTCTGAATTCCTCCTTATTGTAACTCCACAAGCCCCTCTTTCACGTGTGTCTCAGATCAACTCGTTTTGAGACTGTCACTTTAAATCCAAATGAGACGCTTCGCGCCCCGCCACCCTCCAGCTTCTAGAACCATCCGCTAAAGTTGCTGGAGGGATGTACGACTCTATAGCAGTGCAGAAAATCATGAGACATTGAAACAATGAATTTTGAACTGCTTGTATAATAATTTTTAACATATATAAAAGTGATAAAATTGGCCTAAAGTCTAACAATAAAAATAAATAAAAGAATGAGTTTGGTTTGGTTCTTTTTGAAAGAACAAGTGTCAAAACACATTTTGACAAAGCACTGAACCTATTATGGTCTATATCAGGGCCATTCAACTGGCGGCTCGCGGGCCGGATGTGGCCCGCGAGTGACCAAAGTTCGGGCCGCCAATTGGCTCATTCATCTCTTAAGCCCAAACCCCCGGTTTTCTACTATAATTACTATAAGTTGTTTTAGTTCAACCTAGACATGTTTGGTATCAGAGATGTCAGAATCTTGACTACAAGCTGGTAAAAACATTTCTATGAACATCCAAGACAGTTAAAACTACAAGCAGTTGAATATAAAACTATGAAAGTGAAAATAAAATTGGTTTAAAAATTTGACAAGTCAGAGATGTCAAAATATTTTGTGGTGAATAAGAGGCATAATGTGTTTCCCTTTTTTCCTTTTTTTTGTTTTATCATCACTGCATTTATTAAATAGGGTTCTGTATGTTTTAATGATTAAATACAGCAAAATAAACTATTTCAAAGGTAACAGATCTTTGTAATACTTTGTTTATTTACATAACAACTTTAATTGCTGGATGTTCGGCCCCTGAGCTGTTGGTCTGCATTAACTGTGGCCCCCGGAGCAATTTAGTGAAATAGCCCTGGTCTATATTAAAATAAGGAAAAAGAAATCACTAAATAATTACAGACAGAATGACTGCATTTGTGGTTTTTTGTATTATGGATCCCCCATCTTCGAAACAAACAGCAGGTCTTTTGGTTGCAGAGGATAAATGTGTGTGAACTCACCTAGTTCTCAGAAGGATGGGCAGCTTTTGGAGTTGCAACACTTCCTTCCTCGACTCCTCTTCACTCTCATGTCTCCCACACACATACTCAGACACACACTCCTCCAGAGCAGGCCGGCAGAATCCAAATGTTTTAATTAGCGCTGATAAGCAGAGGACAAGGATAGCATTGAGCGGCTCTCTGACACACAGACATTTCCTATCAGCGCGCAGATAAAGAAACTACTCAGTCCCCACTTAAGGACCCTCAAACCTCCTTCCACCTTCCACCAGTGCCTCTCAGCATTGCTTTGAAAAAATGTCAGTTTTCCTAAAGTGTTTTTCTTTTAAACCAGTTATCATCAAGTTGTATCCAGTTTCCTGCAAGCTCTTCAGATTCAAACTTGATTTGGATTATTTTGTTTTGTCTTGTGTTTTAAGCCCTTTTTCAGCACATCATTAACTTCACACAAAATATTTCACATGGGTGCTAATAGAAGAGTCAAGACAAAAATGATGTCCTGACCTTGAACCAGAAGTACATTTTTGAGGTCTGGACAAAAGTACTGATACACTTTTTTCTGCCTGTAACTTTTGAAATAATTCCCAGAAATGTTAAAAAAAAAGAAAAAGAAAAAAAGAATAAGCATCAGTAAGTGTATCATTAAT